AAAATTTTTTTTTAGTCTTCTACATATAAGGTTTTTATTGCTACCATAACAAGTTACCGCAAACTTAAAACCACTCAGATCAAATACATGCTTGGAACCATACAGATCTATTATCTTACAGTTCTGTAGATCAGGAGGGTGGGGGCTGCTTTGGGTTCTCTGCTCTGGGTTTCCCAAGGCCGAACAAGGTGCCAGAGGATGAGGTTCTGGAGGAAAATCCACTTGAAAGCTCATTCAGGTTGTTGGCTGAATTCAGTTCCACATAGCTGGAGGATTTGGTCTTCTGTTTCCTTGCTGGCTGAGTGCCGGGAGTCCTTCTCAGCTCATTTCTTCTGCCCATTTTTAATTGGATTATATGTTTTGGGGGGTGTTGAGTTTTATAACTTCTTTATATATTTTATTTTTTTATTTTTTAATTTAAATCCAAATTAGCTAACATATAGTGTAATAATGATTTCAGGAGTAGAATTTAGCGATTCATCACTTACATATAACACCCAGTGTTCATCCCCACAAGTGCCCTCCTTAATGCCCATCACCCATTTAACCCATCCCCCGACCCCTCCAGCAACGCTCGGTTTGTTCTATTGAAGAGTCTCTTATGGTTTGTCTCCCTCTGTTTTTATCTTATTTTTGCTTCCCTTCCCCTATGTTCATCTGCTGTGTTTCTTAAATGCCACATATAATATACACACACCTCGTACCTTCCTTATCCATTTGTCTATTGATGGACACTTAGGTTGCTTTCATTTCTTGGCTGTTGTAAATAATGCTGCAATAAACATAGGGGTACATAGATCTCTTCCAGTTTATTTTCTTTGGGTAAATGCCCCTCAGTAATGGAATTATTGGATCCTATGGTATTTCTATTTTTAATGTTTTGAGGAACCTCCATACTGGTTCCACAGTGGCTGTACCAGTTTACATTCTCACCAACAGTGCATGAGGATTCCTTTTTGTCCATCTCCTTGTTGACACTTGTTTCTTGTTTCCCTGATTTCAGCCAATCTAACAGGTGTGGTGGTAGTTCATTGTGGTTTTGATTTGCATGTCCCTGATGATGACTGATGTTGAGCATCTTTTCATGTGTCTGTTGGCCATCTGAATGTCTTCTTTGGAAAAATGTGTATTCAGATCCTCTGCCCACTTTTTAAATCGGTCTATTTACATTAAGCCATTGATAGGTAAGGAATTCCTAATGTCATCTTATTGTTCTCTGGCTGCTTTGTAGTTCCTTTGTTAATCTCTTCCTCTCTTTTGTGAATTGGTGATGCTTGTATATTCCCTTTTGTATAGGTTTTGCTTTGTCATTACTATGAGGCTTACATATAAGGTCTTAGATATCTAACAGTCTGTTTCAAGCTGGTAACAACTTAAGTTTTATTCCATACAAATTCCCCCAAATTTTATGTTTTTGTCGTCACAATTTATCTCTGTTCCTATTGGGCACACATTACATTATGGGTATAGTTATTTCCGATATTTTCATTCTTAAGTGATTAACATACCACCATATTACAGTATTCTGATATTGACTATATACATACTTGAAAGTGTGACATATTTTCACATGTTCTCATGTTACTAATTAGTATCCTTTCATTTTTGTCTTGATGAAGTACTTTCAGCATTTCTTGTAGGGCAGATCTTGTGGTGATAAGCTGCCTTAGCTTTTAATTGTCTGGGAGCGTCTTAATCTCTCTTTCCATTTTCTGAAGGACAACTTTTCTAGGTCAAGTATTCATGGTTGGCCTTTTTTTTTCTTTCAGCACTTTATACATAGCATTCAATTTTTCTTGGCCTGCAAATTATCTGATGAGAAATCTGATAGATGATATAAAATAATTATACCTGTAATACCCAAACTGCTCAATATAAACAGAAGTAAACATTATGGATGTTCTCCTTTTTTTTAAGTTTATTTATTTTGAGAGACAGTGCATGTGAGCAGGGGAGGGGCAGAGAGAGAGGGAGCAGGAGAATCCCAAGCAGGCTGTCTGTTGTGAGCACAAAGCCTCCTAATGGTGGGGCTCAATCCCGTGACCCTGGGAGCATGGCCTGAGCTGAAATCAACAGCTGGATGCTTACCCGACTAAGCTACCCAGGTGCCCCAGTTTGTTCTCTATAGTTAAGAGTCTGTTTCTTAGTTTGTCTCTCTTTCTTTTTTTTTCTTTACTCCTTTGTTTCTTAAATTCCACATATGAATGAAATCATATGAAATTTGTCTTTCTCTGCCTGATTTATTTTGCTTAGCATTGTATTCTCTAACTCCATCCATGTCATTGCAAAAGGCGAGATTTCATTCTTTTTTATGGCTGATCTTTTTTATGGCTAATATTCCATTGTGTGTGTGTGTGTGTGTGTGTGTGTGTGTGTGTGTGTGTGTGTATACACCATCTCTTCGTTAGCCATTCATCAATTGATGGGCACTTGGGTTGATTCCATAATTTGACTATAAACATAAGGGTGCATGTATCCCTTTGAATTAGTGTTTTTGTATTTTGGTGGTAAATACCCAATAGTGCTATCACGGGATCATCAGGTAGTTCTGTTTTTAACTTTTTGAAGAACTCCCGTACTGTTGTCCACAGGGGCTGCACCAGTTTGCCTTCCCACCCACAGTGCAAGAGGGTTCCTTTTTCTCTACATCCTCAGGCGTTGTAAGTAGAGGGCCACCCCGGCAGGATAGTTGAAACCGAAGTGGGTGCAGACTGGGGTGTCCTGGGTGCCTCCACGCAGAAGGTACTCTGTTGGGGCAGCCGGAGACGAAGCAGGCAAGGGCCCAGAGGTTTCGGGACTCTCCGTGAGGGGGAGAAGTGGAGGGAGGTGCCCCGGCAAGTTGTCTGGAGGTGAAGTGGTTCAGGCCTGGAGTGTTCCAGGGCGTTTTGCGTCTTGGTGAGACCGCCAGAGCTGTAGTGACTGCTGATCAGGGGTGTCTGCTGTGTGCTCCACTGGCACCCCCTTGATGGGAGGGCTGGGGTTGCGGCTGGTGTGGAGGTAGGTCAGCTCTGGCAGCCCAACCCTGCTTCCATCTGTGCTATCAACGTAGAAGGGGAACATAAACCATGGCGCTCACCAGCCCCTCTGATCCAGAGTGAGTTCCAGCAGCCCCGTCCCCCCTCGTTTGGCAGGTTCCTAAGGCTAGATCTTTTATATTCTAGTTGCCCTTTTAAACCACAGCTTTTATTCTGTGCCCCGGAGCAGACAAATCTGTTCCCCTTCCCTTAGTACTTTCCCTCCCCACTGCAGAGGGGAGTCCCTTCATTGCTGTGTCTCCCTCTCTCTTGCTGTGCAAAAGCTGTTTAGTCAGCCCACCATTCTTTAGAAGGAATTGTTCTGGAAATGTGTGTGTGTCTATGAAGGAGGGAGTTCCGGGTCTCCCTCCGTTGCCGTCTTAGGAACTCCCAAGGTATCTTACATCTTTTTGTTTTTTTTTTGTAGGAACTTAGATTTTTTTGGCATTCGCTTATTTACACATTCAATGAACATCTCCTGAGTGTCTACTACAGACCAGGCACTTTGCTAAGTGTTATTCTGATGGGGGGGGGGGGGAGAAGACAACATGCCCGCTTTCAGTGGAGCTTACCTTCCAGTGTGTGTGTGTGTTGGGAGGAGGGGCGGGGAGGGCAGATAATATACAAGAAAAGTAAAACACGCACTGTGTTACGTTGTGATAGAGGCTAGGAAAAACATGGAAAGAGATTTCAAAGCTGGGGGGGTTGTACTGAAACTTTACGTCGGTCGCCCAGAGGAAAGCTCAGGGCAGATCCGTGAGGGAAAGGATTCAAGTCCGAGGAGCAGCAAGAACCAAAGACCTTGAGATGAGAACATGCGTGGGGTGTCTGAGGCCCCCCTCCCCACCCCAGGGAGACCACGTATAGAAGCAGAGCACGGAAAGAGAAACTCGTGTCTTTGCTTCTCCCCTACAGCACCATATCGTACAGCTCGTTACACACAGTATTTATTGAGTAATGAATTTGGATTTTTCCACTTCAGAGGGGAAAAACAGCAGTGGGGAGAAGGGGCAAAGCCACATGACTTCACAGCTAAGCGGGGCTAAGTGCACGGTGGGGAAGAAAGCGCTTGGGGTGGGAAGAATAGAATAGAGTGGGTTTCGAGGTGGAGTGGTTGACCAAGCAGTTGGAAACACAAGTTTGCTGCTTCGTGGAGCTCAGGCAGGAGAGAGATTTGGGAGGCAATACTGTTGGAGGCACGAGACTGATGAGGTCCTCCGGGGAGGATGGCCTTGGACCAGGGTCATGGTGTGGGAATGTAGAAAGAGGGATGGGTTCGTTCTGTATGCAGGACCTCGATGATGGAGGAGACGTGGATGGTAAGGAAACACAGGAGTTGAGCCTGATTCGAGGGTTCTGTTGACAGGGGTGGTGCACTGCTAAGACTGGGAGGGCGCAGATGGAGCAAGGACATGTGTGGGATGAAAGCGGACATCAGATAGAAAATACCGAGTAATTGCCAAATTGAAAAGAGGATCTATATTTACATCTCAGAAGCTGAAGGTCTCAGAGTCACGGCAGCTAGTGAGCAGCCAAGATGACCTCCTCTAGGAGGCGACACTCAGCGCAGCAGTAAAGCTCCAGCGTCGCCAGCAGGTGGCGCGCTCCGCGGGGCCATCTGATGAGCTTCTGAAGGCCCATCTGCTCAGATTACCTTGCTACCTCCCCGTTCAGCCTGAGCCCTGGCAGCGCTTTTGATGCTAACCACTGCTGCTTTTCATTTGGATCAGCCTGTCCCTTGCTAAGCGGGCCGTTCCTAAATGTTACAGGGCTCGTCGAAGGGGTGCCTGTTCCCATGTGTCCTCTTTCTGGCATCAGTACGCGTCATGCTTTGATGCTGGTGCTGTCACCGGTAATGAGTCACAGGGAACAAGTGTCGCTGGCTGCTCACCAAGGTTGGCTATTAACTGGTAAGAAGAGGACGAGATAAAATTTGGGACAGAAGGAACGGGTGTGCCATCGTTAATGTGCTGTGCTTGCTTTTAGACCTATCAGGAGGCAGTTTCGCTAAGTCCAAACAATCAAAACTGGAAGAAGGCGATGCTCCGGAATCCCCCTCCTCGGTGACGGAAGAAACGGGCTTAGCAGGTGACATTATGTGCCCGGCCAGCCATTCAAGCAAGAATGGGATAGATTTGTGAGCACTGAATGCTCCTGCACGCACTCCAAAGGGGTTACAGTTTGAAGATCACAGTGGCTTTTGCCTTTCGCCTTTCAAAGACAAGCATTTTGTCCTTCCAAAGCATTTTGAAGCATTTTTTCCTTTCAAAGACAAGTAAATTGTTGCACAAATTAGAGATCAAAGCAAGTACTTCTAGCATGTTCTAGTCCTTCTAGCAGGTTGATGTCTGCCTCTTTACTCTTCTTGATGGCAATTTTCAGGGCCTAAAGCTCCTAAAATTATGGGTCTCTGCTTTAGTTGGTAGCTATTAGCTCGGTTTTTGTGTTAGAGATATCCACTCTACCCCAGTGAAGGATGGCCTTCTGCGTAAGTGAGGCCACCATATTTCAAAACGAAAGGCTCCAAGAGAGCAAACTGGGAAGCCCAGAGATACTAGAGTTTGGTGGTTAAGTGCCTCTGGCCTTCCCACTTTGCTCTCTTGGAGCCTTTTGTTTTGGGTTCCAATCCTGGCACTGTTGGTGGGAGCTTGCACAAGTTACTGGATCCCTCTGTTCAATATGGGGAACAACGGAGCCCATTTGACATGGCTTTTGTGAGGCTGAAATGAGCTACAACCTGCCAGTCCCTTAATAGTGCCGGAGCCCTTGCGAGCCCTCCTAAAACTTGGGGCACCCAGAAGCCATCATGCCAGTGTTGCCCCATAGAAATGTCCCACCCATCACATCCTCTTTAAAACCTCTTACAACACCTCTCTCTGCCTGCTGCTTAGGCAGAGTTGCTCTGATTTAAAATTCTGGGAGAGTTTGGAGGAGGTGAGCACTTGAGTGAGGTTCGGTGGGAAGCGGCATGAAGTGCTCACGACGAGGACTCTCAGATCAAGCTGGCCTTGTCGGCCAGAGTCGGCCAGGCCCCCGTGGGACTTCTGCGGCTCGTATCTGTGCTTCTTAGCTGCCTGTCCACCTCTGAGCAGCTGATAGACTGAGCACATCTACCTCGAGCTTCTGAAGGCCCATCTGCTCAGATGTTCGTTTTACCCGATGTTCTCTCTTTATTGTTCAGAAGGCATTTCCACTCCGTCCCCAGCAGTTGCGCCGGAGAACTCAGACGGTTCTGCTATTATCGCAACCCTCGAAACCTTCACTAGAGACCTGAGAAGAAAAATTGAGGTAATTTTCCACTAAAAATGAAAAGCTAGCTTGTTACGAGTTTAACAAGTTCCTGTTATCCATCAGTACCGTTGATATCCTTTATGTGTGAGGGTTCTCTGCACTCTTTTGGGGAGGTACATTTGCCTTAGCCATGGTCACTGATTTCAGTGCCTTTGTGAATTATGGCTTGTATTTATGAGACTGCTATTACCTGTGCATTTGCTACGGTGGGACCAGATGCACGTCTATGGAAATCAGACTCATGGTTTGGTTTCATTGGTAGTGTTCTCAGACAACTGAACTACCAGAAGCAATGATTCGGTTATAATGATAGACGGGAGGAGAGGGGAGCGGGGGACCATCTGGATGAGAGAGGCGTCTGGGATAAGGGCGGAGGTGGGCTTTGGGTAGATGGTCAGCTGAGTGGTGGCGTATCTTTGAGCGATGCGCACGTAGGCCATCCTGTAATCTTGTCTGCAGGATGAACTCTGGAAGAATTTCAGTTCCCTCCTTTGATGTCCTATTGTTTCTAAGTCCCTAAAGAGTTATTTCTTTGCACATTTGGAAAGAATCTTTTACCCTGACATACATTCATTTAACTAACATGGGAAGCCCCCACAGTCTTATATTTTCTTCGATACCAATGTAAGCTCACTTATAATGGCAATTTGTTCATAATATTCAATGTATGTTGTGACAGGGAGACTATAGGTTTTCCTATTTTAGCTTATTGTTCTTTATTGGCACTGAACCTGAGGTAATGCATAGACCGCGTGTAGCACAGTGTCTCATCACAATCATTTAGCAGTAACGTTTGCTATGCAACGTCTTTTCCACGCAACACCTGAACTGAATTTATGTAGTTATGGTTAACTCAAATGTGATCATTTTGCTGTTGTTGTTATGGTTTAGCTTAGGTACAAAGGGAGTCCGCTTGATTCAAAAAATGCAAAGCAAGCACCAGATTGCTTAATCCAACTTTTAAACCAGATACACCAATGCAGGTAAGTGTTGGGCTTCAGAACAAGTTTGTGAAAGTGGGATCGCTCACAAGCTTTTGTGTCATGACCACTGTGCTGGGGTCACGAGGAGCCGAAGCTTGAGCAGATGTGTGAGGTTTGCTCCCTCACCTAACCTTCCTAGGTTTCTCCTTCCTCCTTCATAACATGATGGGTTAAAGCCTTCCTGAAGCCTCTTCATGGTCTCCCATTGTATGATCCTAAAACACTCTTTTCAAAAAATTTATAATCCGGTTGTGAAGACAGAGGAAGCACGGACATCTATGTAAAAATGCTGGATAAGTGCTATGTGTTAAATACATGCAGTGGAATATTATTCAGCCCTAAGGGATGAAATTCTGACACGTGCTACAATATGGATGAACCTCGAGGACATTATGCTCAGTGAAATAAGCTGGATCCAAAAGCACCAGTCTTACACAATTTCACTTGTAGGAGGTACCTAAAAGAGGCAAATTCATAGAGAAGGAAAGCAGAGTAGAGATTACCAGAGGGTGAGGGAGTGGGGAACGAATTGTTGTTTAATCAGAACGGAGTTTCTGTTGGGATGAGGGAAAAGTTCTAGAGACGGATGGTGGTGACAGTTGCACAACGTTGTGAATGCACTTACTGCCACTGAATTAGAAATGGTTAAAACGGTAAATTTTATGTTACATATATGGCCACAATAAAAAGTGCTGTGCACTCATGCATACACACACACACACACACACATACACACACACGCACACGTGTACAAACATATCTTGATGACCATAGAGCAGGAACGACAAAGGCGTAAGATTTCAGAGAGATGTGAAGATTAGGAAAGGTGAGTGGAGATGGGATTCTGTAGTGATTAGAGTTAATCCAGAGCCATTACAACGGAAGTGCTTCTGTAGTGAGGTTTTGGAAACAAAGGTTTGAATGGTATAAGGAAGGTATGTATAGAGATCGTTCCTTGTTGAAGAGAATGACCTGTGAATGAAGGAGAGGAAGAAAACAATGGCGGGTTGGTTTGCTTAACTGAAGGAGGATGTTTCTTAGGGCAGAAAATGTAATGTGACTAGAAATTTATGATGTTTTTCAAACTTGCTTACATGCAATGTCATTTGGTTCTCAAAACAAGCCCATGAAGGACTTTGGACTTCTAGAACTCCCATTGTCTTTTAGGGGTTATATATGCATGCATTTTTCATTCGGCAAATGCACGCTGAGTGGCACCAGGTGCCAGGTCCCATGCTAAGTGCAGGAGAGCAGGGACGACAAGCTTTGGGAGCTTCTTTACTTCATAGAACTTCCAGCCTAATGGAGAAGACAGACCATAAACAAGGGAAAAAAGCAGTTTATGGGGTCGTTAGAAGAGCAACTGTTGGAAACTTTAGAACTAACATGTAGAGGAGAAACGAGTCTATTAGCCAATTTCAGCCTTCAGGACCAGCTTAAGGCAAGAGAAAGGGGAGAACATGGAAGGTAAGAAGCGATGGGGAGCCATGATTGGTGGTCTAGTAGCTTTCAGGACAGCTCTGGCCTCCATGTCCTTTTCCCTGGAGTTATCTCTTCTTTGCTCTGTAATACTAGCTTTCTCCAGTCTTCTGTTGAAAGGCTAAATCAAAGTTTGCAGAACTAAGGGATGAGGATGGTTAGTGAGGGAAGAGGAGATGGGTGTTCTTTTTTTTTTTTTTTTTTAAGTTTATTTATTTTGAGCACAGGGGTGGGAGAGTGGGGGGGGGGAGGGGACAGAGAGAGAGTGCACAAGTTGGGGAGAGACAGAGAGAGCATCCCAAGCAGGCTCTGCTCTGTCAGCCTGGAGCCTGACGTGGGGCTTGAACACACAAATTGTGAGATCATGACCTGAGCTGAAATCAAGAGTTGGACACTCAACCTACTGAGCCACCCGGGTGCCCTGAGTTATGTGTCCTTAAAACAAACGTCTGGAGAAGAATAAGAAGTATCCTTGCAATAAGAGGATTGTCTTTTGTCCTATTCAAGCAGTCCCAATGAAATCTGGTGCTTTTTACTTTCATCAGACTGAATAAACTAGAGAAGTTTCACAGTTTTGTCCTTCAAGAGCTGAGCAATCTTGAGAAGGATATTCAGGCTCTGAAACACCTTGAGAAGGATGCCCTGGTAAGTCCTTTTCTTGAATATCCTCTGTGACTTACGAGGATCTGTTCCAGACTAGAATAACTGCCAAATACTTAAAACTTTTGTTCAATTCTAGGAATTTTGGGGGAAACAGTCTGATGCCCTGAAATCATTCTGTGATCTGCAAGTGCTGAGGTATTTTTTCCAAGTATTCCTTCTAGAAGTATCTTAGTTGAAGAATGAGGGTAGTGCGCTGGCTGTAGTATGGGTGATCGATGTGGGTGAAACTGCACGGAAGCAGCTATGTAGCTGCATCCTTTCAAACCAACTACTTTTGTGGCACTCCCTGAGCAGAGAGTGTGGCTTAGGGCATTCTAGAAGTGTCAATTTTGAGAAGCATAAGCAGGATCACACAAATGTCCGTGTTTTTGATCCAGTTTGTTTTCTTTTAAGCAATAATTTTAAAAAATTGAGTCCATCCTGAGAAAAACACTTAGATATATAGTGAATTGTGGTATTGTAGAATATATTCTCTCTATATATATTCTTTGGGCAGTATGGAGATTTTAACAGTATTTGTTCTTGGGGTCCCTGGGTGGCTTAGTCGGTTAAGCATTTTGACTTCAGCTCAGGTCATGATCTCAGGGTTCATGAGTTCGAGCCCCACGTCGGGCTCTGTACTGACAGCTCAGAACCTGGAGCTGCTTCAGATTCTGTGTCTCCCTCTCTCTCTGCCCCTCCCCCACTCACACTCTGTCTCTGCCTGTCTCTCTCTCAAAAATAAACATCAAAAAAATTTTAAAAACCAGTATTTGTTCTTCCAATCCATGAGCATCGAATATCTCTTTGTGTCTCTTCAATTTCTTTCATCAGTATTTTCTAGTTTTCAGAGTACAGATCTTTCACCTCTTTGGTTAAGCTTATTCCTAGGTACTTTATTATTTTAGGTGCAATTGTAAATGAGATTGTTTTCTTAATTTCTCTTCCTGCTGCTTCATTATTGATGTATAGAAATGCAACAGATTTCTGAACATTGATTTCGTATCCTGCAACTTTACTGAATACGTTTACCTAATAGTTTTTTGGTGGAGTCTTTAGGGTTTTCTGTATATAGTATCATGTCATCTGCAAACAGTAAGAGTTTAACTTCTTCTTTACCAATTTGGATGCCTTTTATTACTTTCTCTTGTCTGATTGCTGTGGCTAGGACATCCAGTACTATGTTAAATAACAGTGGTGAGAGTGGACATCCTTGTCTTGTTCCTGAGTTTTGTATAAACCTTGTTCCGAGGTTTTGTATAAACCTACTTTATTGAGGGGCTTTATCGTGAATGGATGTTGTACTTTGTCAGATGCTTTTTCTGCATCTATTGAAATGATCATATGGTTCTTATCCTTTCTCTTATTGATGTGATGTATCACATTGACTGGTTTGCAAATATTGAACCATCTGTGTATCCCAGGAATAAATCTCATTCAGTCATGAGGAATGCTTTTTTTTAACGTATTGCTGGACTATGTTTGCTAATTTTGTTGAGGATTTTTGCATCTGTGCTCATCAGAGATATTAGCCTGTAGTTTTCATTTTTTTGTGGGTCTTTATCTGGTTTTGGAATTGGGGGAATGCACAATTATATGGTCAGTTAATCTTTGACAAAGCAGGAAAGAATATACAACGGGAAAAAGACATTCTATTCGACACTTACATGCAAAATAATGAAGCTGGACCACTTTCTTACACCATACACAAAAACAAACAAAAAATGGAGTAAGGACCTAAATATGAGATCTGAAACCATAAAAATCCTAGGAGAAACACAAGCAGTAATTTCTGACATTGGCCATAACATCTGTAGATATGTCTCCTGAAACAAGGGAAACAAAAGCAGAAATAAACTATTGGGACTACAGCAAAATTAAAAGCTTCTGCACAGTGAAGGTAACAGCCAATAAAACTAAAAGACAACCTACTGAATAGTGGAAGATATTTGAAAATGACATATCTGATAAAGCGTTAGTATCCAAAAAATATAAAGAATGTATACAGCTCAACACCCAAAACTAAAGAATCCAGTTTAAAAATGTGCAGAAGACATGAACATTCTTCCAAAGAAAACATCTAGATGGCCAACAGACACATGAAAAGATGCTCAACATCACTCATCATGGATGTGCAAATCAAAACTACAATGAGATATCACCTCATACCTGTCAGAATGACTAAAATAAAAAACACAACAACAAAAATTGATGAGACTGTGGAGAAATAAGAACCCTCGTGCACTTTTGGTGGGAATGCAAACTGGTACAGCTACTGTGGAAGACAGTAAGGAGGTTCGTCCAAAAATTAAAAATAAAACCACCCCATGATCCACTAGTTGGATTACTGGGTATTTACCCCAAAAATAAAAACACGAATTCAAAGGCATACACACACCCCTACATGTGTTGCCACATTATTTATAATAGCTACTTTATGGAAGCGACCTTAATAAAAAAATGAAATCTTGCCATTTACAATAACATGGATAGATCTAGAGTATACTGCTAAGCAAAATATAAGGCAGAGAAGAACAAATACCATATGATTTCACTCATATGTGGGATTTGAGAAACAGAACACACAAAGGGAAAAAATAAGAGACAAACCAAAAAACAAACATAGAACAAACAGATGGTTATGGGGGGGGGGTGGGGGGATGGGCAAAATAGGTGAAGGGGATTAAGAACACACTTGATGAGTGCTGAGTAATATATGGAATTGTTGAATGACTACATTGTACACCTGAAATGAATATAACACTGTGAAAAGAGCCCCCAACAAACATAAGTCCAGGACCATATGGATTTACAGGTGAGTTCCAACAACATTAAAAAAAAAAAAAATTAATACCATTCTTAAATTATTCCAGAAAATAGAAGAGAAAGAAAAGCTTCCAAATACATTTAACAAGGCCAGCATTATTGTGATACCAAAATTAGGCAAAGATATTACAAAACAAGAAAACTACAGGCCGATATTCCTGATCAACATAGATACGAAAATCCTCAGGAAAATATTAGTTAACTGCATTCAACCATACATTAAAAGGATCATTCTCCAAGATCAAGTGGGATTTATTCTAGAGACTCAAGGATGGTTCCATATCCACAAATTAATCCACATGATACGCTGTATCATAAAATGAAGGATAACAATCATATCATCTCAGTAGATGCAGTAAAAGCATTTGACAGAATTCTAATTCTGTTACTGATAAAAACTTCCAATGAGGTGGGTTTAGAGGAACCTACTTCAACGTAATAAAGGTCATATATGTCAAACCCACATCTAACATCATGCTCAATGGTAAAAAATGGAAAACTTTTTCTCTAAGATCAGGAACAAGATAAGGTTGTCCCCACTCACCGCTTTTATTCAGCATAGTAATGAAAGTCTTACACAGCAATAGGAGAAGAAAAAGAAGTAAAAGTCACCACATTGGGGAGGAAAAAGTAGAACTGTCACTATTTGTAGATGACATGATACTATATCCAGAAAATCCTAAAGATCCCATCAAAAAACTATTAGAACCTATAAATACAATAAAGTCACAGAATATAAAATTAATATACAGAAATCTGCTACATATATTTACACTAATAATGAAGCAGCAGAAAGAGAAAGAAAACAATCTCATTTACAATTACATCACCAAGAATAAGATCCCTAAGAATAAAATTAACCAAAGAAGTGGAAAAAAGACCTGTACTCTGAAAACTATAAAATCTTGATGAAAAAAATTGAAGAGGACACAAATGGAACTATATACATACTTATGGACTGGAAGAATTAGCATTTGTAAAATGTCCATACTACCCCAACCTACAGATTCAATATAATCCCTAGCAAAATACCAACAGCATTTTTCACAGAACTAGAACAAATAATCCTAAAATATATCCGGAAGTACAAGAGACCCTGAATAGTCAAAGCAATCTTAAGAAAGAAGAACAAAGGTGGAGGTGTCACAATCCTAGTGTCAAACTATATTACAAAGCTATGGTATTCAAAACAGTATGGTACTGGCACAAATATAGACCCATAGATCAATCCATGCTTTTATGGTCAATTAATATATGACAAAAAAGACAAGAATATACACTAGGGAAAAGACCATCTCTTCAATAAGTGGTGCTGGAAAAACTGGACCACATTCTTACACCATGCATATGAATAAACCCAAAATGGATTAGAGACTTAATCCCTTGTGAGAGCTGAAACCATACAACTCTTGAAAGAACACATAGGCGGTAATCTCTTTGACACAACCCTGTGTCTCCTCAGGTGAGGGAAACAAAAGCAAAAATAAACTATTGAGACTACATCAGAATAGAAAGGTTTCACACAGCAAAAGAAACCATCAACATAACGTAAGGCGACCTACTGAATGGGAGAAGATATTTGCAAATGATATATCTGTTAAGGAGTTAATATCCAAAATATATGAAGGGCGTAGATAGCTCCATACCAAAAAGCCAAATGTTCCAATTAAAAGATAGGCAGAGGACCCGAATAGAAATTTCTTCTAAGAAGACGTACAGATGGCCAACAGACAGATAAAAAGATACTCAACATCACTAATAATTAGAGAAATGCAATTCTAAATCACAATGAGTTATCACCTTCTACCTGTCAAAGTGGCTAGTATCAAAAAAGCAAGAAATGACAGATGTTGGTGAGGATGAGAAAAAAAGGAACCCTTGTTGGTAGGAATGTAAGCTGGTGCAGTCACTGTGGGAAACAGTTTGGAACTTTCTCAAAAAATTTAAAATGGAAATATATGATCCAGAAATTCTGTGACGGGGTATTTAATGAAAACAAAACCACAAGTTCAAAAGGATACATGCGCCCCTATTATTTACAGTAGCCAAGATCCAGAAGCAGCCTAGATGTCCATCAACAGACGGATGGGTAAAGATGGGGGTGTATGTGTGTATATGCATATACACGCACAACAGATTGTTACTCGGCCATAAAGACAATGAAATCTCCCATGTATGAAAACATGGAGGGACCTAGGGGGTATTCCAAGTGAAATAAGCCAGACAGAGAAAGACAAATACCATATTTCACTTGTATGTGGAATCTAAAAAACAAATCAAAAAACTCCTAAGTTCAGAGAACAAGCTGGTGGCTATCAGAGGTATGGAGG